GGACCGAGACCGTATTTTATTCTTTGCTGACATTCTTGTTTCTAACCAGAAGTGGAGAACACTAAGGGAATCTGAGCTTGAATACCAGAGGATGAAGCTTTCTTGGCTAGGCTGTGGGATAGATGAAAACAGAAATAAGATACCATAACCTAACTAGCTGAATTGCTAGGCTGCCTCTTTCATGAGCTCGCGTTTGTTTTGAGCCGATTTAGAACTGTTTGGAAAACCATCCTGTCACTTCACAGGTATGGCTGCTAAAATATCTGGATGCTATTTTTATAGGCAACTATGTTGCCTATTTGCCTATCTCTGAAGATATTTCTGCTAATGTTTTAGAACATATTTCTCACTTTGTTTTAATTAAGTATTTTAAAGATGTGGCTTGAAGGAAAATAATGTTGGGAAAAACTAGAGCTAAGTTAGTGAGCCATTCACATAGCTGGATATGTGCTAGCTCAATTTATTTAAGTATCTCTGTATATTCATGAAACATCTAAAGATCATACTACACCAATATATTGATTTTTACTTCTTATCTATCCTGAAACAATAATGGTGATTTTTTTAAGTCTTTCTTTAAGGTCTTGCATAAGTCTTGGGGATGAGGGGAGGGCACATTTTATAAGTCAACCACAGGTGCTATTTCTTTCTACCTGGGATCTTGGGTTTCATTTGAGCTTTAACTCAGTGTCTCTCTCCAAAAGGATTCATTAGAACATATTTCCAAATTATTGCACTGGGCATAAAGAAAATGGCATAAAGAAAAGGTCTGTTGAAAAGCAGCAGCAAATACATGTCCAAACAAGAACGTCTGGAGTCATCTGAATCAGTCTTTCTCTTGGGAAAAGGCCCTTCTTGTTTAAGTGTGTTAGCAGATTCAGGCATTGACTTCTGGTCTGGAAAACTTTTGTCTGTTGCTTACAGCCAGTGAGACAACATAGGTGTGAATGGTGCTTTCCCTGCTTGCTCATTAACTTTTCTTTGAGTCAAGGGTGAGAATTTGTAAGCGAAGCAAGAAAACAAAATCTAATTATTGTGTAAATGATTTGGTTTTCTGTAATTTCATTTGGGGGGGGGGGGTCTGTTTTAATAGAATCTGATTAGTGCACATAAGGAAAGATAAAATTTTGAAATTTAATTGTAGCTGACCAAATTACCATCATTTTGGGGTTGGTTTGTTTTTTCCAGGTCAATCAGAACGTGGAGATCCAAAGGGCCCGTCTACGAGATGATATTAAGGAATATAAATTCCGAGAAGCGCGTTTGCTGCAAGACTACACTGAGCTCGAAGAGGAAAACATCTGTCTCCAGAAACAAGTGTCTGTCCTGAAGCAAAACCAGGCAAGTTTTTCAAAACAGTGAGCATTGCTTTGGTAGCACTAGTTAATTCCTGTGTTACAGCATGGTTCTGTCCCATTTGAACATCCAACCACTTTTTTTCTATCTTTGTACTGCTTTTAAGACTATAAACTCTGTCTTTTAGTACCAAGAATTGTCCCAAAATGTTTAAGTCCTTTGTGACTCTGTTTATACACAGTCATAAGACTTCATTGCTTCTACTTTGACCTCCAGGTCCTTCCACTGCCTTCTCTCTCTGATGGAAGTGAAGTCTCTACCAGTCTGCTTTGTTACTTGGTTTAGTCTTTTTGCTACACTAGTTTTTCAATGTCTCTTTGCAATACTCTCCATCCACCCATCCTCTCCTACAATACCTGTAACTGGGTCTATTTCTGAACATATGTTTTTATTGCTACTTAGTGCTTACATTATCTCTCCAGTTTTGTACTCCTCCTCTCTTCTAGCTACTTTCATTAAACATGGACTACTGTTATAGTTGCTCTATACTGTCAGACCCGTGTGACTGCTCATCTGAAAAGTCACGTTTAATTGCACAGTTCCAGCTATTTTCAGAATTTTAGAAAACTGCATTTTTGGAACAACTCAAGAATTTCCCCGAGTTATCATTTGCGGAGGTAATTAGATTAGATGTGGTCTTTGGCACGGTTCACTTATCTTCATCTATCAGTTGGGGACTTGCTATTTTTATTCTTCAGGTACCTGTCAGTCTCATTGTATACATAAAACTCAAGGTTCAGTTGAGAAAATGGTATAATATTCCTGAAATAAAAGCCCTTGAAGAAAACAGTAGTGTTAACACCATCTGTTGTAGCGAGCACATAGCAAAAGCTTATTAGGATTTGCTTCAGATCTCCTTCAGTGTTCTGGATGAAACCTGCCCTACCAAGTGAGGTATTTGGGATATTGAATGTATTTCATTTATCTCCAGGTGAAACTCCATGTCAGTGTTTATCACTTTGGTCTCACTGATGTGCCCAAAAGGGGGTTCCAGGTTGGACCTGTTCTCACCTGAATATATTTGGTCTAATTACGCTGTTTTGGGTATCCTGTCATCATGCGGTAGGGATGAAGGGGCTATTACGCTCTAGATGCAGACTGGAAGAGATAGTGATCTGGTAAAATCCAACCTATGTAGTTGGTTACTTTTGTTTTCTACCTTTTTTTTTGTCTCTTTCATTGTATTCAGAGGAGCAAGTGAAAGTTCCCAGCTCCATGTTCATATTCTAAAATAACAATATTCAAGAATGCTGTCATTCTGGGCTAAGCCAAGTTTAACCTCAGATGCTATCTTGTCAGTTGCTAGTAATTATTGACTACTGTGTTTGTATTCTGGAACCTTTGAAAATAGACTGCAATCTTAAATATTTGAGCTCGGTGGATTTATATAGAACCAAGAGCTAATTCTTTTCATAGCAATGGATTATTTCATTTTCTACCTTGTCCTAATCCTACTTGATGAATTTTATTAAGCTTTAATTATCTCACTGACATAACTAGAAGAAACCATCAAGTTTTCCCAGGCTTAACTTGAAAAACTGAATTAACATGATTGGTTCCTGGTTTTTAAATCAGGCGTGGTTCATCACTACCAGATTGGTGTATGTTGGCGTCTAAAATTCCTTTAGCAGTTGGCAAAGATCAATAGGGATATGTATTATGTGCTATGTTCTCCTTTCTTTCAAGGTAAGGAAAAGGTATTCTTTAAGGTCGTCCCCCCTGCCCCCCTTCAAAATTCTACACTGATGGTTGGTGTTCATAATTTCAGTGCAAGAGTGGTTTAAAAAAAGTAAGCAATTTTCCCTGTAAAAACTTACAGCATGCCATCAAATTTCATGTAGCAGCACTATGAGCTTGAAGTGTAGAGTCTGAATTGTAGCACTCTCAAGATGTGCTGACATGATGATGACAGAAATGATCAAACATTTTATTTTGAATGTCTAGAAGCAGAGTTTGATTGCTAGGTGCATCCCAACCCAGCTTTGAGATGCTGGGTTTTGGAAATGTTGAGCTTGAATTTGTGGGGAGGTTGGCCAGGGAATTTGTTAATCAAATAGAGAAAGAGTTTGCATAATGTGCTAGGAAAGTCTGTTTTGTGATGCCTCTGTATCACACGCTGTATCTCCCAGCTGTCTTAATTAAGCTGGAATAGATCAGCTCATTCAACGGTTTGCTTAGAAATTTTATTCCGTGGTCTCTGTGAAGGTAAATTATGTAAGCAGTGTTTACAGTCATAGTGCCAAAACTAGACTCCAGAACTGAAAAAAATTATTCTATTCTCACCGTATTTAGTGAAATCAAACATTCAAAACTAAAATTACTTGGTGCCTTGCAGGCAGACGTTT